TTCTTGTTGGAAATGGCAAGTGCGATTGCTTTGATACTATACATATTGTTCATTTTCTAATGATATCTTCAGTTCTTTAATTCAAATTCAGCTATCTCAGCTGAGAGGTTGCTTGTTTAATATTATTACTGGTGGTCCCACTACCCACTTCAGGGCCTGTGCAAGAAAGTCTTTTCTGCAGACATTTATTCCAGCTAAAACTTATTTGAAATACTACATGACCTAACAGGTCTATGAGGCAAGCATTGACATCCATTATATTTTGTCGAATTGTATCAAGACTTCTTATGTTTTACAGCATGAGGAACATTTGGATAAAGATGACCATCTTGATCATCTGGAATCATATGCATTGATTGCCAAGTGGATGGCCTTGTTCACTAAAATTATGGATCCTGTTACTAAAGATGAAGCGTTCATTGCTGTTGTAAGTAATTCTTGATCTTTATTATTTCTACAATTCTTGCTTATACTGGAAGCAAAGTCTTCATGCCGCTCAGTTCTGTCTGTATTAATCTGTCAGTCTCATTTTCAGTCTAGTATCTCAGACATTAATAGATTTGGTTAAAACGTTATGATTAGTTGTTGTATTTTACTCTGGCAATAGATATCTTTATGCGTAGAATAATAATTTTGAAAAAAAAAAAAACATCTAGAGCAATTTTGACTGTTATCTGTCATGCAGGCAGCCAACCACATTTAGTTACATGTCTTTATGTTGTAGGCTTCCCTGGAAGAACAACTAAAGTTGGTTAGCCAACCACCATGTGCCCTGTGTGGAATGCAGAGAATGTTGGACAAGAAAACCTTTGTAAGTGTATCTTGACTGGGATTGCATAAATGCAGTGTTCTTTCCAAAACATTTTAGAGTAGCAAAGTCTGTTAGTTACAGCAATACTCTGAAGATATTTTTCTGGTGTTTTTTATTTAAAATTGTAAACAAAACAAATAAGATCACTGACACTGAGTAAGTGTGAAGCTTGGTTTCGATGTGGTGATATTATCAGAGCACTATCAACACTTAACAGTTTGGCAACTGGATCAAAACCCCAAGCATGATGGCTCCCAAATAGGTGTTCTCTGGAACCTTTATATTTGAAAAAGGTTGTCACTTCAGACCATACCCACTTAGGTGGCACATGCATATATAGCCCCAGAAAACTAGTCGTGTTCATAATTGACCTGTCCCATTGACTCGAAGTTTCATGTTACTAAAATCATGTGATTCCACTTCAGTTGCCAAGAATGGTCGATCATACACAATAGTTACTGAAATTACAGCCACTCTTTGCTATGATTGGTCTATCTTTTTTTTCCTGAAATGTTTTGTTGAATTTCTCATTGTGCAATTTGATTTCTTGGTTTCCTTCATTATGTATGTATGTTATTTACAAGTTTAATTTTGTTCAACTTAGATTTCAAGGAAGAAACATTTGAGACATTTGCGGAATTCCAAACATTTAAGCATTGTTCGAATCGCAAAAGCTGTTGTTGGTCTTGGCAACGCCGTTAAAGACTATGATGGAAAAAAGATATATTCATTGATAAAGGTAAGACTAACCTGTAGCCAGACATTGTGGTATTGTAACATTAACAGATATCTGTTGCATTGTTATACTAATGGAACACTCTTCTTTGTAGAAACATGAACAACTTCTTTTTGAAACTGAAACTGAGCCATCAAAGGAACGATGTCCAATTTGCCAAATGGGTTTGAAAGAGGTAGGTATTGTTACCTTGTCAGACATCTAGGAAAAATGTTGGTCTTTATTATTGTTCTCCCTCATGTCTGTCCATTCATCCATCTTACTGTAACTGTAAGTCTCAAAAATCAATTGACTGGTGAAAGTGGCTTTTTTGGTCTACCTTCGAACAAAGTATGAAAATAGGGAGTGGCGTCATTGTACCTCACCATTGTCACCATTAGTCTAATGTATCTCACCATTAGTCTAATGTATCTCACCATTAGTCTAATGTATCTCACCATTAGTCTAATGTATCTCACCATTATCTAATG